ACACTCCTCTTCTAGCAACTGTGCAACGTTCACGCCTCCTACAATATTTAACATTAAGCGTGGTTAGTGCATCCTCAACTTGATCCCTACACTGGAGACACTCTCTACCTTTGAGCCATCTTTCTCCAATTGCCGCTTAAATACCTTTTTCGTTTAAGCATCGTCAATCGTGCTTACGACATGATCAAACTAGCGAAACCTCCTTACCATCGCTGTATAAAATCAATATTGTGATAAAGTTTGTACAGCTCATTGTTCATTCTGATACAGTAGTCGTCGCCAATTAATAAAATAGCAAAATACTAACGAAAAACTTTTCTTTCGAAATTGTTCAGTGCTGCCACAGGTAAGATAAGCGACCTATAGAGTATAAATTTTGTTCATCAAAAGAGCGCTCTACATACCATTTGCCTAATGAGCCCCTAGTAGGACCTATTAACAATGATAAATCGTCGTCTGTTCTCCAGGCTCACATCCTTGTTGTCTGTTACGACTAATGTAGACGAAATCATTGAACAAATTCGAAAGTACAATCCCCAGCTCGAACTCCGAGCAACGTATATTTCTACCAGTAGCCAACATGTACTTCGTTTTATCTTCATTCACCGCTAAGCTCATTGTTGCAGATTAGAAATATTCTACGGATAATAAATCACAGCATTTAAAAGGCCACCCTTTAGCTATATTTCTTATAACAACATAGTCAACGACGACTTTCTTTAATAGATCGTTAATTTTTCTAACATGCAACTTTAAAAATATTACATATAGCACATTATCGTTGCATATTCATCTAATAATAGAAAAAACACGTTAGTAATGAATCTGTTCCTACCGGGATTTTTTATTTTGAAATAAACACAGCACAGTATCGATGAAACTAAAAACCGTCCAGAGCATAATAATTTACAATTGGAAAAATAAAGTGTTGATCATGAGTGTGTTCTTAGCGCCATTAGCGGGATTTTTGTGATTATGAAAGAGCACAGTACAGTCTCATTGAAACCAGAAACCATTCAAAGCATTCATGACTCTGCTTGTGTCTCCAATCTTGGTAATATTACGATTCTCTTCGTTTTTGAACTAGTATGAGTGCTTGTATTAATATGACAATACGTATTATTCCTTATGCAGAGTATATTGAGAGCAAGCTCTTGCTTGCCCATTTGCAAAAAATTACTCAATAAAATGGTAGTGTAAGATTATATTAGGTTTGAGTATATCAGATTAATAATCTGCCATTAAACTGAATTTAAAATCAAAAACCTGTTTCAATTCAATATTTATTAGAATCTAGAAAGTCCCTGCTTGACTATTTGCAAAAAATTACTCAATAAAAGGATAGTGTTAGATTATATTAGGTTTGTGTATATCAGATTAATAATCTATCATTAAACTGAATTTAAAATCAAAAATATGTTTCAAATCAATATTTTTTTGGATCTAGTGAAACTTTTATTCGTTATAAAAAATATGAATTATATTTTTGAATTACACTATCTTATTTATATATAAGAAAACCTTTCTAGGCTTATTGTATATGTAACTAAATATTGTAAAATAACAAAACTTCAACGAGGCTTTACCTAAGCTCAGCAGCGAGAACTTTAACATTTTTAAACTTCTAATACGAAAATATATTTGAAATTGCAATAAAAATCCGAACCCGAAAATCCACTGTTCCATAAAAGAAACAAAATATAAATTTTACCAACATATGTACACTTTTATTAAGGATTTTTCATTTTTTGGAATTTTTGGAAACAGTACCGAAAAGAGACATAAAATTTTATGCTTGAAAGTATCCAAAAAATGCTCACTTGGAAACGGTTTTGCACCTGTCACGCACGCTAAGTCACGTTAATAAAATCGCTCACTGCATATGAAATATCGCGAAACGCCTCTAAATGTCGACAATGTTGGCATTTTAAACTCTGATATTGTGTGCAGCACACTGGAGTTCTCTTAATTTCTTACTTCGTCCTCCCTTGCCGCTTAAACGCCCAGCTCTATTTGCTGCAGCGGTTTTATACGACGTTACAACCTTACAACATTGTAGCGTATAAATTGTAGCAATTGTGCTACATTAAGTACTTTTACTTACACGAGTATCTCGGCAGTGCGACATTTTATCTCAAAATGGCCTTAATCCGGCACAACCACTGCAATATCCTTTTGCGTTGCTCTACATTTTGATGTCCTTGAAAGATATGCAAATTTTTAGTTATATTTGCACTTAACTGCTTCAAAGTATTTTGTTGCAAAAATTTTATATCCTTCCACTGTATCTTTTCTTGTCTTACGATGGCTGGCTTGCTCTGCCTTGTCCTCGGATCTACAAAAAGTATGTTATTTTGTAGTGAAACAAGATATTTTTATATATCTAATGAGGCCACACTGGGTTCAAGATACCACATAAATGTTACACAGCCGAGATTATTGTAAGTGAAACTACTGCCATTTGCAAGGTAGAATTTAATTTTTTTAATACAATTTTTTGTTTTGAATTCATTAATTTTGTTAGTTTGATTGTAGCTATTTTTTGTTTCAAATTAGGCTATAAAATTTGAGAAAAGAATTGCACAAATATTATGAAAGTGTAAAAATTACAAGAGATAAAAAGAGTTTATTATTTAATTAAAAATAAAATTAAAAACAATAAATATATTGCTAGGTTGAGACAACTTTAAGGTTAAGTTCAAACGAAAAATTTTTGAGGTTTCAACAAGCCTATAACACGTACCTATACTTAGTTAATTACTTGCGCGATACTACACCACTCCACCGATGCTTGAAGAGTGTCTTCTATCGATAAGATTGTGCAGAATTTTATAAAGAAGACACAGAATCAATGAACCATTTTCTATGTTTCTGTCGAGGACTAACACAACGGCTCATAAATCTGTAAGATAACACACTGGCAGCGTTTCTATTTAAAAATCTATATCAATTTCAAAAAATGGGAAGTCTGTAATGAAACCTGTTCAAATTTCATCACATTTGGAAGATTACTCATTTAGTTACAACAATTTTAGTGCCACTAAAAAGCTTGGTTCTCAATAATCTCCAGTCTAACAAATCCCAAAAAGAACGATGATTACTCCGTACAACAATATTTGTCCTAGCTAATTTGTGATCATGATATAGCCATGTACTTACAGTTACTCGTTACGCATAAATACATCAATCCCAAGTGTGCCTAAACTGCAGCTCTACACCCCATGACGGCGCCAATCACACAAACCTCAGTCAAATCATCCTTTGGACCCACCCCATTAAAGTGGCCAGGTTTCTTTATCGTGATCATGGTTGATTTGTATTAAAGTCTTAACCATTCTTACTCTCACTTAAACATTACTCATCAACATCTAAACTCATGTACTCGACGTGTAATTCCTTCATTTTATCTGCTTTTCACATCCTCACGGGCTCCAACAATAACATGGTGGTTACCCAAAAGAGGTGGTGACGCCGGAAAACATCAAAGTTCATAAAAGCATTTTGATAAGCCGTAAACTAAAATAGTGGCTCCTCCTTTGGAGGAGGTATTAAAGTGACATAAAAAAGACTGCACCAATATACAACTATAGTTGAAACTTCAATCGACCACTTCACTCTGGAGTCGATGTAGCATTTGGCTGAGTGGACAGCAGAGCTTAAAAATGGAATACAAAACGGTAAAAATGTGGCACTCTTGCCACATCGACTGCCTTGAAAAAGGCCAGAACAACAATAGTGATCGCCGCGAAACAATGGCTTCACATGACGAAGAAAAATATTCTCCTTCTTACCAAGACAGTGGGCGTGACTAGTACAAATAATGCATCAAACTGCATCGGTATCTATCGTTTTCGAGTGGAAAAGAATACGAATGTGGATTTGTTAGATTTTTTTTAGTCGTATCTAGAAGATTAACGAATTTAACAGAGACAATACACGAAGATAATGACGATTAGTGTAACTCACCTCTTTTAAGTGATGTTGAGAGCATCACAATGGACGATAGATGTCTCCGAGTAGAAGTGTTGGTACTTATATTAACATTCGGCGTTCGAATCTAACCTTACTTTTGGCTTAAGGATGAATGTGTACGTACACCACCTGTTAGTCACTTAAGTCTGTTATTATTGATATCATATAATAACAGAAACAGTGATTTGTTTAGTCAGTCTTTATTGAAAAAAAAAAGTTGGTTAAGAATTTCACGAGGCTTTCGATACCAGTTTTTGATAGATTTTTAGGATCTGTCAAAAAAAATTGTTGAACTTTGTTTTATATGTATTCCACAGATCTATATCCACAGCATCCAAAGTAACTGCTTTTGACTTTGCAAACAATTTTTTATATTTTGGTGTCTGTTTCCACTGATAAACCCAGAGAGCCCAAAATCGAACTTCATTAATTTTCCGAAAAACTTTTAAAAATTCATAATAGCAGTGAAGAGACAGCAGTCCCGTAAGCTGGCACTTAAAATTCATTACCACAACTTTTATTAAAAACATTTTTCTTGCCAAGTTTGCCAAAAAAGTACAAGTTTTTTGTGGAAAACTTTGTAACCAGAGTAATTAATTAGGAAAACAAATGGTGTTGCTAAAAATTGTGATTGTGAAGAATGCAAAAAAAATCTATGCACACTCTTAATGTCAAAATAAGATAAACTAAACAAAAAAGAACTTGAAGTCCTTTAAACACAACAAAACACAACATTTGATATGTCAAAGAAAATAGTAATTAGTACAAAATTGTTCAGGATTTCGAAAGGATGAAATCTCTAGAAAAACAAGAGAAAATTGTTAAAAAATTGGAACTGAGTAGAATAAAGAATATTATTTTAAAAAAGCTATAGTCATTTATTGTACTCAAAGTCATCACTTACGAATAGTTTTTAAATATATTGTATTTATGTATATCTACTACTAACTACTACTTTATCTGCTACTTTTTATACTCTAACCTCATTTATCTCAAATTTAATAAAAATTTCTTTTTATTTATTTTGCAGGCAAGTTTAAGGAGCAAGCCACATCAAATTCCGCCTGGTTGCCAGTACTGAATTCGAAAGTTCCAGAACCACGTCCTGGCACTTGCACAAACGATACCGCTGCACTGCCTGATTCAGTGTTGAATTTCATACGTAAACATCCGCTAATGGATAAGGCGGTCGATCATGAATTTGGCAATCCCGTCTTTTACAAACGTGATGTTATCCTAACCAAATTGGTTGTGGACAAGTAAGTTGCTGCAGTTAATGCATTTTAAATGAATTTATGAGTTTGGTTGCATGGCAAAGGGTTGACTGAGGGCAAGGGAAATGTTCTGTCAAGTAAAAAGTATTTAAAGTGCCTTGAGTAAAACTTTATAAATACAAAATAAATCGAAATTTCGGCTTCGTTGCCAAAACTCAACGGCGTTACTTAAGCAGCGGTTTTGTAGGCAAGAATAACAATTTATTTTTTTAATTTTATTTCTGCCTGTTTCCGGTTTCGGTTTAGCTCTAAAATTGCTCAAGTCAAGAGTTTCGGCACTTAATGCATTAAAAATGTGTGTTTGCAGTGTAAAAATAGTTTTAGTAAATAACTTAAGTGTTAGTTTTGAAAAATTTGCTGCGGTAAACGTTTTACTTGAAAAGGATAATCACAGAACATACCAAAAAATTATACGAATGTCATAGTGAAAAAAAAACATAAAGCAGAACAAATATGGATCTCTACTTTTTGGTTCTTTAGCATTGAAAACTTAAAAAACTGCAAAACATTGGTCTAAGTTTATAATGTGACTGCGTTTTTGCAGATGTTTGAACTCGTTTTGTGCTGCATTTTTGCAGTTTTTATATAAAATAATGTAAACTGTTGTCATTTAGCACAAGAAAGGACTTTCTGTGGCATACTGCATTTAAGAGAAAAATACAAAAAAAAAATCTCGCGAACTTTAGATTTCATAGTAAAGTAAGTTTTTAGTTCAATTTGAAAATAATTTTTTAAAATTTATAAAAAATGAATTTTTTTTGGTTTATTTAAACCACTGACCTACAGAGAGGTCTAAAATACATTAGCATAAAAATAATTCAAATATAAATGCAAATTTAGAGTTGTTGTTAGTACACTTTTTTAATTATTTTTTATTGCTAAAAAGGCTAATGTAAAGAAGAAGTAAAAGCTAATAGATTGGTTTTTATTACTATAAATATATATCTATATATAGTCAATAGACTATAGAATATAGTTATTGAGTAGTTACGCGAATAAAAGCTTAATCTAGCTTTAACTCAATAACGATTTCTAAGAATCGAAGCTCATAGATTGGTTTTTATTACTATAAATATATATCTATATATAGTCAATACGAATGGAAGCCTATCTGGTTTTAACTCAATAACGAAATCTGAGAGTCGAAGGAATAAAAAGGATCTAAGCCATTTCGTGGTCTACTTCGTCTAATCTTTCACTTCAGTGGGGTCACTTGTTGGACGGTGCACTGTCCTAACGTTCCACAATATATATATATAAACTATAGTCTGTTGAAGAAGACTATAGTTACTTCTATTATTATGAGACTATTATTACTCAGGGTGGCGTATTTTATTTTTTATTCACATCAGCCTTTATATCAATTAAAAATAATTGCAAATAAATTATTTTATGTGTACTCTTTCTATTAATAACTTAACCAGCCTACTATGTATACTTTAAAGATGTGTTTAAAACTTGCCTCTAAATATAGAGCATTTAATAATATAAAACTTCAGTATGGGTCGCTCAGTTTAAATATATTTTAATAATAAAAAATATTCTATTCTACAAAGTATCTTTTTAGTTCAGCCCAATTCTACTATTTTTTTATAACTTCAAATTATTCCATGTTTAAAGTACTCTCATACATTCTTTTAATTCATGAAGTACATTATCATGTAAGCCCACCCAACCTGAAAGAACTTTGTACCAACTTGCACCTCTTTTTTCGCTCTCTCGCAATATGACATAAACACAGACTTTTCCATACTAGATAACCAGTTATCATTATCATTTCTCCATGATACTTTAAGTGTACGTACTATTGTTTAAAACCCAATTTTGTTATATAATTTGTTAGACCCAACTGTGTGCATGTAATATTGACTATAAAGGTAGGGGAACTTATTTTATCATTCTTACATTTTCGATACTGAGACTTTTTGCCTTTGGAGAAGGCTCTGTATCTAACGTAAAACTAATTGTGGAATGTATCTAACGACATAGTAAACGAATTGTGAAATGTATTATATTTAGTGATAAAAAAAAAGATAACTATGATCTTGAAATAAATAGAAATTTTTAAAAAAATTGGGTGTTAACAGTAGACACTTTGGCAAGTAAATAACTTGAATAATTGACAGGTATGTCTAAGACAGACTTTTAACTGGCGATTTTTATGATATTAGTCAAAAATAAGAAGAAAAACTAGTAATTTTCACCTACGAGTATTATATACAAATTTTAACAAGAACCAAGGCTATAATTCATAGGAAATGTTAAACAACTGATATCAGAAGCCTCATTAAATTCTGAAGGAAATTAAATTTATTAAAGTAAAGACCGTACCTCATAAATCGAAACTTTATTAGAAGCTAAATCACAAAGAGAAATATGTCTTCAAACAAAAGTACTAGGCGTTTTACCGATGGGAATAAATATTTAAAGTAAAAGATCTGTGAAGATCACTTAAAAACTTTAATGGTGGTCTGGAGGTCTGCTAAAGTCTCCAGAAACTGATATAAAAAACTTCATAAAATGATCTAAGAATATTTTTCAAATGCAAAATTCTAGAAAAGATTTGTATTCATTTAGATTAATAAGTAAACTGATACTTTATAAAATTTATTTTCTTTTTTCTTTGTTTTACAGAATTCGCATAGATAAACTTAATCAGGAATATTTGGTATACTTCGTCGGTACGAGTACTGGATTAATTTATAAAATCGTACAATTCGTACGTTATGGAAATAGGCACTCAAATTTGTTAGATATATTTGAGGCAGCACATAATGAACCTATACGTGAAATGGGCCTTAGTCCCAAAATTGGTTCCTTGTATATTGCTACCGATCATATGGTCAAACAAATCGATGTAGCTATGTGCAAAGTTCGCTATGATTCCTGTTTCCGTTGTGTTGCAGATCCCTATTGCGGCTGGGATAAAGAAACTGGTACTTGCAAGTCTTATCAGTTGGGTCTTTTACAAGTAAGTATAAATGAGAGTTTTATAATATTGTTATAATAATAAGAAATAAAACGTTTATTAGTAATAATAATAATTACGTTATTACTAATTATAATATTAGCTTAATAAATTTTAACTTGATTATTAATATTAGATTAACTCGATGGGGTTTACTTTGAAGGTACTCGTAACAAAATTATTTAAGAGTTACTTCTAAAAGTTACTAATGATAAGTAATTGACAATACTGAAAGCAACTGTATAGTCAACCAAAAAATTCAATTAATTAAATATAAAGATTTTTGCTGTTGCAATTTATTACTGATTGAACCTTCAAATTTTGATTTGTAGATTTTATTGGTTTTTATTTGATAGTTTTGGATAGTTTGTACAGTTGAGTTATAATAATGACATAATTTATTTTTTAATTTTGATTGATGATTTGACGTGTAGCAACGCTCGTAGAAAAGACACCAAAACATCTGTTGTATCTATGTTCAGGTTTGTCCAGAACCAGGCTCTAGCTATTGGGTATCCCATTCTCCAACCTCATTTATCAATGCTTCCGACTGGTTCTAACATGACCTACTGAGCTACCATTAAGAGGAATGCTAGAATAACAATGGCTTTTAAGCTAATTGTGGAGGACTCATTCCTCCCTCTACTTTACCCTCCCTAAATTTTTTCCCTAAACTTCGTTGATGAAATTATTATTATCTTTTATTTAATAATACTAGATACCTTATCATATAACTCTATATTATATTTTTTTGTTTATATATTATTAATTCAATATAATATTTATCTTCTAATTTTTCAGGACGTTGCTAATGAGACTTCTGGCATTTGTGACACAAGTGTTTTAAAGAAACGTATAACAGCTTCATATGGACAGACATTACATTTGTCGTGCTTTGTGAAAATACCGGAAGTACTGAGACAAAAATCGGTGCGATGGTATCATCACTCAAATGAACGAGGACGGTAAGAAAACATTTTAAAGTACTAAATTACAAAATAAAAAATGTGTATTTATGTATATATACATATCACTTTCTTGAGTTCTTCACTTTGAAATCTGAACTCAGAGAAATTGCTTTTAGATTTCACACATGTAGCAACACAGCTATTAGCACCCCAAATATGCAAACTGCAATGAAATAGAATCCCTATAATGGATTGATAACTTTTTAATAATATCAACAACTGTTTGAATATTTGAAGTTATTTTCATTGACTTTCAACCCCACAAAATTAGAAAAAAAATCCAAAATGAAATTATTAGCTTCCCTAAAAAGGTAACAAAAATTGCTTACGTCTGCACGCAATTCGGCTGAAGCATGCAACTGAAACGGAAACGTACATTAAAAACTTTAAACATTGCGATGACGTTCCAAAGGTCCTTGGAAACAACACAGCTGTGTCTTTAAACGCAAATTCACAGAAAAGTGCGCTTTAGACTTGGAACTGTTAACTGCGAGTAGTTAAAGTCGTACCGGCTTGCAGTGGCGGTTTGCTTAGAAAAAGGTTACTCAGTAGAACTCTACTCTCTATATTTTTGTTTATTTTGAAATGCGATGCCTTCATTCTCAACGTGAAGATTCAATGCGAAGCAATGCCAGCGAAGCAAATATAAATTTTTATTACCAAAACATTCCGAATCAAAAACGTTATCGAAAAAAATATTCAAGTACAAAATCATTCAAACCAAATAAAGTAAACGGAAATGTAACTGAATCCGCTGCAATGTGAAATGAAAATAAAAATAAAAGTAAAAGTAAAAATAAAAATAAAAATGATGTGCAAAGTGTAAAAGTAAAAAAAAATGTGGAGTGGAAAGAAAACAAACGGAAAACTCGCTTGTATCCGTCTTGGTAAATTGACATTTCAAAATATGCGAGTCTACTTTTCGGCGTTTATGTGCATTTTCATTTACTATTTTATTTTCTATTTGGTTTTTATAACTTCTTGACGTCTCGTTGGGGTGCTTTCTTCACATTCTGCTCATCTTCTTGGCAGTTTGGGTTTTGGCTTACGATTTCATTTGATGGCAAAACTTTTATCCTAGCAACCATCGTCGTCTACACCGCTATTTGGTCGTTGTTTTCCTTTTTTGATATGTCGAACTTTTCAATTTAAATTTTTATTTTTATTCTCATTGTTATTTATGAACTTGGATACGCTTAAGTATGTTTCAACATAAATGGGAAAATATCCTTGCTATTTGATGTCGCTTC